TTCGTAACGTACAAAAATTGAATTGTCTACGCTCTGTGCTCGATGCGCTGGTAGGCACGAAAGATTTTAAATGGACTTGACTAGGAAGAGTTGAACTTAAGGAATTCAAGGACTTGACAAATATTGAACTAGTTAGATCCGTTTAGCCTGACAATACGACGCTCGGATAGGTTGAGCAGGGAGATATACATGAGAATCTACCGGTCACATTAAAAGAACCTGTATCTAGAACTGTGGATTAACTTTTCCTCGATGTGCGGATTCTGTCCTTAATTCCGGTTTTGATGGGGTGACTGGGGAATTCTGATAAACTAGGTCTGTAGAAGGTTATTTTCTTGCTTTCTGTCTGTTAGTCATATGTTGCCTCCTCTGCGTGATCGAGAGATCTGACCTGGACTGTAACATATGCAATTCTATCTCTCTGCATCTTCTCTCTATGCAATTCTTTCTATCTGTTAGCCATATACTGTCTCCTCTGCGTGACTCATAATCCGACCTGGTACACAGTATATGCATCATTCTCTTCTCAATCCCTCTAAAACTTCAGTTAGTCATATGTTTCATCCTCTGCGTGATTGGAAGAGATCCGACCTGGATGTATAGCATATGCATTCTAAATCTATCTTCTCTCTTAATAATTGTCTGCTCACCTGGTGTAAGGAGTATTCTGGAAGTCCTTGATTGCTGGAGCATATCAGGAAGCGGGAAACACGTTCTGGTACAATTAAAAATTAAACACATACAGATTGTCTGTAGATCTCGTTGCTCAATTTAGGTGGACAACAATATCCTTGGTTGTAATCAGCTAAATGGTCCCAAGGAAATTTATTTAAGAATAAGGGTTAAAAATGTCGTGTCATTCGTAAATTGTCCAAATTCTGTCACAAATGTTTCGTGCTTAAGTGGACCACAATACTGGCGATCGGTCAGACGAAGACATGAAAATAAGGGTACTGACAAGTGGAATAGGGCTGTCTAACAACTTTGATCCCAGTGTCACAAAATTATTTTCAGTAATTAAAATTTTAGGTTGTTTATTTTATTTTATTTGTCTTATTTAATTTTAATTTTATTTTTATTTTTTATTTTAATTTTTTTATTTATTTAATTGTTGAAATTTAACTGTTAATTTTTAAATTTTGAAAATTAATTTTATTTTATTTTTAATTTTAATTTTAATTTTAATCCTCAAAAAGTTTTGTTTTTGAAAATATTGGACTATGCCTTACACTGTTTGGTCAGCAGGTAAAATGGTCAAAGGTATAAATAGAGTTTACAGCCGGAAACCCATTCATTATTCTGATTTCGGCCGCAAACTCTCTCTCTCTCTCTCTCTCTCTCTCTCTCTCTCTCTCTCTTTCTCTCCTCGAAAATTTTTCTTGTTTTTTTCTGTGAAATTGCTCCGATCACTTCGAAGGTATCATGATTCTGACCATAGATATGTGTTTACTTCTAGGATTTGACGAGTTTTGAGCCTAAAATCGACAAAAAAAGGAATCGTCGGAGTTTACGGCCCAAGCTTACGGCCGTGAAGAGCTTACGACCGTAAACTCCGTTTGCGGCCATAGGCTTACGGTCACGAGTTTACGGTCGTAAACCCCCATTGATCGTAAACTCGCATTTGACTTGAAATTTAATTTTAAAAATTAATAATTCACTTTTGGGCTCGAAGTTAAATCATTTAAAATATTATTTGCTCAAATTTCTTTCTTGTCTTACTTAGTATGTTTTAGTGCAGATCAAATGGAAGCCTTAAAGTTCGCAGACATGCACAATCTGGCAATGGTACTGGCTGATCCTCCGGTGGCTCATATGGATTTCAAGTCAATGATTCATGGACTACGAGAATGTGGTTTGGCCTCCGCCATCACCATGAACATCGTTGTTTATCAGAAAATCATAAGAGAGTTCTGGCAGACTGCCAAAATGACAAGAGACGATGATGGAGCTGTGACTGTAGACGCAATCGTTCAAGGATGCAAAGTTGTGATCAATGAGCAGTTCATCAAAGAAACATTGTTGATCAATGACCTACCAAGTTTTCCCACCGAAATTGGTATTAAAGATGCTTAGAAGATTTTGAGGAAGATGGGGTATGAAGGCGATTCTCCTCCTACAATGAAAAAGCTTCTGCCACCCTACTGGAGATTTCTAGCCCATGTGTTCGTGAGCTGCATCTCCGGCAGGAGGTCTGGTGCAGATGAAATATCCCTGAGAAACACTGGAGCTATAGTTTCTCTTGCTATAGGAATTGGTTTTAACTTTTCAAGGTTTATCTTGGATGAATTTGTGGTCAACATCAATGCCATCACTCGGGATACCTTTTTGATGTATCCTAGATTCATTCAGCTTTTCATCAACAAACAATTTCATGACATGGTAAAGGAGGGAGATACACTTGATATGAAGTCCTTGGGCCCTCACACTATTGGGCTAATTAAACAAAATCGTAAAGGAAAGGTTACTTTTCAAGGACTACATCCTTTGGTTAAATTCAGACGATTTGCTGAGCCGAATGAGGCATCCGAGTCCCACGGATCTTCTGATAAGATATCTTCAGAACACACTTCATCAGAAAGGGTGATCTCGGAAGGAGATGTGATCACTGTATCGGATCAGGAAGGGGAGGAGACAACTGCTCCCAATGTGGCTGTAGCTGAGGAGCATGACCTGCGATCAGTTCGAATCGAAAGCGACTACAATGAAGGGTCTTCCATGAATGCGACTGAGACTGATCAGTATGAAGACCTTGACATTACAGGTTTTGATCGAGATGAAATTCCTACCAATTTTGGAAGAAATGATGACTTCTTGTCGAATGTTAACCTCAACACTTTGCTTGATAATATCAGTGATGTTGCTCTCCCAGCAACGGAGATAAGGAATTCTGAAGACGTTCTTGATTCAACACCCATTTCTACAGAGCAAGTGGTTGGTTCTATAACTCCAATGGTGACAGTGTCAGGGATTCCTCCCCTTGACGGTGGCTCGCCTACATCTGAACCACTTCAGGGTGATCGCACAACAGACTAGACCTTACAGCCTCCATCCAAAAGAAGAAGACGTGATCCTAGGTTTGGGCCTCTGGATTCTAACTTGTCTCATGGTTTGCCGATTACGCCAACAACTACCCCTGCTATTGTATCAACAGAACCTTTATGTGGAGGTCCTAGCACCATTTTTGAACCCGGTGGCTCCTCTGCTCCACCAGGATTTTCTACTCCAAGGGCAGATCTTGATGAGGCCTCTGTGCGGTTGGCTTTGCATCTTGCCCAGGAACAAACTGCTGCACCTTCTTCTAAAGCTAAAGGAATTGCTTTTAGAGAAGGTCATTCAGGAGAAGATGACTCTGTGGTTGATGAGCTTCAAAGGAGAGTGAATGTGCTTGACCAGAAGAATATAGAGCTCAACATTCGAGTCGAAGATCTTTTGAGCGAGAATACAAATCTGAAGATTCAAGTTTCTGATCTTCAGGAAGATAGGGCAACAAAGACCAAGCAAATCTCTGAGCTTCAAGCTCATTTTAATCTCCTGACCTCTAGTTATTTTGATTTAAAGAAGAGCTTGAAGAAGATCTTGGTGCCAAATATAAAACATCTGCAGATGAGTACAGAATCAATCTTCATTCTCAAGCCCATCCTATTGCCGTGCCAACTGCTCAAACTTCACGGGTCGTTAACCGTTTTGAAGAAGAACCCGCTCATGCTCCACATGTTGCAGAAATTATTCGTGACAGACAAGCTAAAGTTGCTCAAAAGGGACAACTCTTGTTCAAGAGGAGTTCCGACAAAAACGCACCAGGGAATCAATCCGCAATCACTGTTACGGATCTTGAGGCCGTACGGTTTAGAGACACGTATGGTGATCGGTCAGGGATCATTTCTTGGGGATTTCATGACACCCTAAATATGTGGATCATGCGAAGAAAGAGTGGCAACACGGAGCTCTATAAAGATTGTCATGATTTTAATTCGTGGACCAGGGTGGATCTTTCAGAGTTGTCCTAATCTCCTTTTTCAAACCCTTCAGATAATCAACAGGCAACTCAGTTCAAACACTTTCTTGAAGATCAGGTGAAGAAGGGCTTTCCCTCCATGAAGACTGCTGAGTCTATCATAAAGCATTATCCTGATGTCATAGATCCCAAAACTGGTCATCCACTTCAGGTGGTGATGTGGCCTGCAACAAATCAGGTCAAACAAATCACCGTGCTTCAAAGTTACCCGGATGGATCTCTAAGCTCCATGCTTTATTGGGTATTCGATGAAACTACAGCGTCTTCTGTTATCAAACTAAAAGATGGATGCATCCGTCTGTACGATCGAATGGATTTGTTCCAGTTCAGGAAATGGGACATTCATCATTTAAGCCTTCATCAAATTAAAGTTGCTGAGGAGATATTTGAGTCAGCCGCGAAGGAATACACATCCATGGTTGCTGAGATCATAAATAAACGCATGTGGAATGGGGCAATGGGGCAGGCAGATGTGATGGTAATTGACAAAGATTAACTTCAAGCTAGCACCAAACCAAGGGGGAGATTGAAAGGTACAATTAATGGTTTGGTCTAGGCTTTCGTTGTAATAGGTTCTTTTGTGTCAATATGCAGTTTTGGTAGTGTTGATAGTAGTTTACAGCCAGGTTGTGAGTTTACGGCCGTAAACCCAAGGTCGGCCCAGGTCCACTGTATATAGATGCTAGCTAGGTCATTTAGTGGTTGTTGATGCCACAGAGTTCATGGCTGCTATTTTACAAGTTGTACCAGACGTTTTCATTAATAGAAGCGTGTGAAAGCTTGTTCTGATTTCTGTTTCTACTTCATTCTTGTTATTATTGAGTGTTTTGATTGTTTGATCACTGGTAAGATCCGTTTCAGGACCTTATAGTCAAGATGAATTGTGGCATTTTTGTAAATACCTAAGAAAAAAAAGGGACGGGGGCATGTTTTTAAAATGGATCAGGGGAATTTTAGGATAACAATATTCATACCCACTTATTGAATGAATCACGCTAACCTCTACGCACTCTCGTTCTCTTCATCCCGCCTCTCCCTGCCTTTCATTCCACTTCCGACAATGGGTACTTCAGCTCGTCCATCGCCGCCTAGACCATCGTCGCCTGAGGAACAACTGTCGTCGCAACAGAAGAGTGAGTCAGGAGAAGTGGAAGACGGTGGCGGTTACGAACACGAGACAGAGGCACGAGACAGTGGCGGTCAAGAACATGTTCAAATCTCTCAACGAAAGCGGTTGGAGCTGCGCCAACACCGGCCTTCCTAACATCTTTCTTCCCCACCCCTCGTACCACCGGAGAAATGCTTCAATTTCATGTTCAGCTTCTCCAATAGTAACACTAGAAGAAAGGAATGGGAAAATACCGAGTCGAATCAGTTCTCTTCAGTGTCGTTGCTCTTTGTCAGGTACTTTCCTTTCCTTATAAAGTTGCTATTAGATTGCAGATTTCAGGTAGCCTATCTTTCTGAATATCAGTGGGCAATCACCTTGCTTGTTTACAATTACATGCAGAGATCTTTAGAGGTATTCAAATCCAAATCCAAATCCAACTATCTAAAGTTCTAAACTCACTGATTATTGATTATTTATTTAATTCGATTACTTTTTAGGGGTATCCTGGTGTAACACCATTTAAAGGAATGGCATCTGGATTTGCAGCATTGGTTAGGTATCATCCTGTTGGAAATCCTTGTATATTTTACTGTGTTCATTGTCTAGTGGAAAAACCAAGTAGTCTTTGTAGTGAATTCCCAAAAGAGCCAAATTCATGGAATGATTTACATGATGAGTTAGAGCCATGTAAGAAGCTTCTAGATTTACTTCTCAGACTTCTCTCACTAGTTGATATACAGGTATTAATCTGGTTTATCTTTTTAAACGGAAGTTAAGGTTTTAATGGCATCTGTTATTGTTATGTTGTTCAGGTGTTGCCAAGTTTGATGAATCTTTTAGCACAACTGGTTGTCGAGCTTCCTGAAGATGGACAAAATATGGTGCTGAATGACTTATTTGCTCAAGTTGTTGATTTAGATGGTGTGACACAGAAACCAACACTTGTTTCTCAGGTACAGTCTTTATCTTATCTCTCATCTCAAGCTACAATCAAAGGAGGAGGACATAGGAAGCATGAAAAATCTCTGCATGTAATAATAAACAAGCAAGTAGATAGTTGGATCTGGATAGTTGAATAAAGATCTTATTGTCAATACTTTTAATATGCTTGCATCAGCAGCATATTACCAGGTGTGCTTTAACTTTTTCTACATTGATATAAAGAATCAGTGTTTCATGAAGAGATTATTTAATCTTATTCTGTGAATGATGCTTTTCAATCTATCATCGGGTGACACAAAAGTTATTGTTGCTGTTTATGGACCCAAAGCTGGAACTAGGAAAAACGAAAACCCTAAAAAGGCCTTCATTGAAGTCATCTGGAAGCCAAAAACCGGACAGAGTAGTGAGTTTTTTCTCTTGTTAATACATCTGTAATGTATACTAATCTCATTCCTTTAGCATTTTCTCCATGGTGCTAATTTTTTGTATAAAAAAGTTAATACAAAGTACAAACTATTGCAAAATAGAGAAACCAGAGAGGGAATATGAAATGGTGATGAATAAGACATTACAAAGCATCTTAATGGAACGTGTTTTTGATACATACTGTTACAGGAGGTTGAGTTGTTGGTGAACATTAGATATCATTACCTTTGTTCCTGACCGAATTATGTGTAAATAATGAGATCACATATTATGCCATATATTGATCTTATTTTCATATGTTGCTTCTGCAGTCCAAATCTTTATTCCTTCCAGAAGTAGTCGTTGCCATTTTAGTCTTGCTTGGTTTTGCACCTCCTTCTACATTGTCCTCTGCAAGCTCAGAAAAGGCAATCTTACTAAACTTTTTTAAATTTCTTGTTTCAGTGCATGATTTTTTTTGTTAAATCTGATATAATTCCTTATTGATCTTCCAGTTGAATTATTTGAGTTAAAATTATTTGAGTTTTAATGAACTTTATTATCTTCAATGGCACTAGCCTCATACTTTTATTTATTTACTTTACAAGGTACGAGAAAGATTATATATTTACATGTGAATTATATGTGATTCACATGTGAATCACATGTGATTCACATGTGATTCACATGTGAATCACATTTGATTCACATGTGAATCACATGTGATTTACATATGATGTCATATGTAAATGTGATTCATATGTGAATCGCATGTGATTAATATGTTAATCACATGAAAATCACATATGTATTTTTGTGAGTGTTTTCACATCAGTCATTTTTTTTTAACTTTTTATGGACTTGGAAGAAATTATGGTGAATATTGAAGAGGTGAAAAATGATAAATTGAACAAAATAAGGAAATATTGACACGAAGACATGAAAACGCTTTGAAATTTGTAGCATTTTTTATTTTTTATATTTTATTTTGTATCGAATAAAATGCTTGTACTATTATGTTTATAGATTAATTAATACAAATGAGATTTGTTGTGATTTAATTATGAACATTATAGTATAAGAAATATACATATATGCATTTGAAAAAATATGCATACATGCACCTAAAAATTTACTTTTTTAAAAAAGATGCAGTTTTTTTTAAATTGCAGTTTTTTTAAAATACAATTTTTTTTTTTTGAAAAAAATGTAAGTTTCTTTAAAAAAACATGCAGTTTTTTTATTTAAAAATGCGGTTTTTTTAAAAATTCTAGTTTTTTTTAAATGCAGTTTTCTTTAAAAAAAATTGCAGTTTTTTTGAAAAAAAGATGCAGTTTTTTTGAAAAAAGATGCAGTTTTTTTTTAAAAAATTGCAGTTTTTTTTAAAAAATGTTTTTTTTTCAAAAATTCTTGTTTTCTGTAAAAAAAATTAAAAAATCTGCATTTTTTCTTAAAAAAACACAAAAAAAAAATTATTTTTAAAAAAATATGAAATTTTGATTTATGATGTAAATTTTTAGACATTTATATTAATATATTAAATAACACAAAAAATTAAACATTAAATGAGATCGGTAAGACGACGATCATGTACTTAATGAATTATTTTTGATCCAACGCTCTACTTTTAGTTTTCGGGTTCACGGGAAACTATGAGTTCTCAACCGTTCTCAACCATAATATATATATATATATATATAGTATAATATATAGAATATATATATATATATATTCTATATATATATATATAATATAGGAAGGGTGTTATTGAAAACAAAAAAACCATAAATATCAGAAAAATGCATAAAAAGATACTTAAAGATCACAAATCTTTTTTTTTTGACTTTATATTTTTAAAATCACAGCTTTTTTTATAAATTCGCTAAAAAATTAAAAAATCGATTTTTATTATTTATTTTTTTATTATTATTTTGTTTTTTTTCAAAAATAAGTTCAGCGAATTTATATAAAAAGGCGCAGTTTTAAAGAATATAAAGTTAAAAAAAAGATTTGTGATCTCTAAGTATTTTTTTATGCATTTTCATGATTTTTAGGGTTTTTTATTTTCCATAGAACCTAAACCTATATATATATATATATCTATATATATATATATCTATATATATATATATATATATATATATATATAGGTTCATTTAAAGCCATATTAATTTGTTAAAACATCAGGATGGGATCCTGACCACTCATCTTGGATATAATTTTTTTTTTCTAAAATGCAAAATTAAGGAAAACTTTTTATTGGTTTTAAATATTATTTTCATCATTTAATTAATTTAAAAAATAAATAAATAAAATAAAAAACTACCGTTTTTTAAATACATATGAAATATTCTAATACAAAATTGCATTGTAAATATTAAAACAAAATTGTTAGAATATTCAAATATCCTATTACAATATTAGACTATAAAAATTCAAACAGTTTTAGTAGAATGTTAGAATATTCAAACCTTTCTAAAAATTCTAGTAGAGTATAAGAATATTTTAAAATTCTAACAATTCTATTTGAATATTTACAGTTTAATATTGTATTAGAATATTTCACGTATATTTAAAACAACAATATATTTATTATTTTTATTTATTTGTTATCTATTTTTCGATAAAATTAATGATAAAAATCATATTTTAAAAAAAATTAGATTTTTTTTCTTTTTGGATTTTAGATTTTTTGATCTTTAAAATGAGTAAATAGGATTGCGTCTCCATATCTTACAAAATAAATTTGTCTCATATATATATATATATATATATATATATATATATATATATAATATATATATATATATAGAGAGAGAGAGAGAGAGAGAGAAGGAGAGACAGAGAGAGAGGTAGCTTCATGTATTCTAAGTATCTATTGTGTGGATGTAGGAATTAATATAGGCCAGTCATTTTAAAAACCTAAGGAAGGGTAAAATTGTAAATTTACCTATTAATTAATTTTAGTAATTAAAGAAAGATTTAATTAATCCTTAAAATATTGGATTACTTTCCCTTATATTGTGAATGCTTCTCTATAATTGATCCATCCGTCTTCTTAAACCTAACCCTAAATCATGACATCTTTGTGTCCTTCAACATCCTCATCTTGCCACAGTTGCTTCATCCGCCTCTCTCTCTCTACCATAGACTTCGATATCTATAGCCAGAATGAGTTCGTAGATGCCATTTTACACGAATATCCTATCACCGGTATGTTCACGCTCTTCTTTCATTCACACCACCGACGATGACCTCTTTTCGTGCAGCTATTGGCGATTGTGTGTGTCATCCCTTACTCCCACCTTTATCCTAATTTCCAGTAAAGGCTCACAGTTGCCTTTTGGTTGTCGACCACCGCCACCGTCATCTCCATCGCCGGCCACTAAAATCAGTCGACCCTCCATTGTCGGTCCTTCGCTAGTCGCCTCCATTCACCTCATTTCCTTCGTCTGCTATGAGATTTCATGATGGAGTCGATTGGAGACCATTTAAATATTGGGCTTTTGTTGTTGGATAACTCGGTATTTATCTCCAATCGAATACAATTTGGAATCAACGAAACTTCTCGATGTCGGTCTTCTACAATCCCAATCATCGTCTTCACATCGGTATTCATTCAGTCATTTATTCGATTTGATTCTCGTTTCTCTTAATTTAACTAAGAAGTTCTTATTTTTAATTAAGTGATCTTAGTGTTAGTCCATCTAATGATATCACTCCATTTTAAAATTGCTTAAATTTCTATAATTTCTTTTCCAATTTTGTTCAACATTTGACATTGGGGTTTCTTAATGTTTTCTCCT